ACACTATTTATTATAAATAGTGTATTTTTTTTTCCTTGATCTTGATTTTCATTCTAATGGTTGAATGTCTTTTATACCTCTTAAATCGTTTGTTAAACTTAGAAATTAGACCTTAAATACATAATCTTCCTTGATCTATACTCGTGGAAAGTAATATGGCGCAAACTGCTCTCCTTATCTAATAGTAAAAACGCCTTACCAAAAATCGTTCTGATCTCCATTCTACAAGTTGAATATCCTCTGTTTCTTCTTAATGCTTCGAAAACTCAGAAATTAGATCTGGAATGCATAATTATTGCATATAAATCTTGCCACCTTCTACAGTCTTAATCTTATTTAAATTATTTAGCTGCTTACCTTACCTATCTATAACTTTACTTCTTACCTTATTAATAACGATTTTTTAAAGGAGGAATGATTAATTTGTCTAAAGAATAATGAGTTACTGAATCAAGAAACTTATTTATAGTTTCACTGGGTCTGGTTGGTCGGTTGGTTTCAATGACAGGCCATTAGATAACTTCCATGTACCTCAATTAGCGATTTTTTGTCGTTTTGCTACCATATTTTTCGCAAGAACCCTTTTATATATAGAATAGTAAAGTCTAAATACATCCCGTCGAATTTAGATAATTTAATAGGTCTCTCGCCTTCACCGATGACTGGGTCTGACCTAGTGGAAATATTATTTACAATGCCTTTTTCAGGGATGATTTAGCAAAAATGATTACAGTAGTCTAAGCAACCTCTAGAAACGTGTTTGTAGTTTAATTAATCCAATACAGTATAATTTCAACTTATTGGAAAATATAACTTTAATGTTTTTGAAAATTAATTACTAATAATTATGAATAATAATAATAAGTAATCATGAATGTACAATTTGTACTTTCAATCCACGCCTTTTTCTGGTATTTATAACTAAAATTGTTTAATTATCTACTTACATATATATTTGCATATTTGTATTATATTTACATCAGAATTTATTTTATATTTGTTTTTAATCGTATCTACGTAACAATATCGTATTAAATTGTATTATCAATTATTCTTTACTTTTTGTTAATTTTTTTAAAATTAAAATAGAGGTTTTTTTTAAATAATATTGAAGTCATTGGCAAATCATGCCAACAAGAAATTACATTTCTTATTCCAAAATAAGATTAAAACTCCTCAGAGTTTTAAATTTTTCCCCTAAACCTTTCGTATTTGTCCCTAACATAAGTTAGACACTATTAAATTGTGCTCGCTTGTTTCTTACCCATTTCTTATCTTCACAAACAAAATTCCTGAAGGAATAAAGGGGATAGTCATTAGATTAAACTGTTTAGGAGTAGAAAGGCACATTTGGTTAAAACACCATTTTTATCCTCTGAATGGCTGGTAGGTATGTATACTACTTGTATATTTATGCTATCTGCTCCTTTTGTATTATGGCAATTGTGTATAGTTGTTTTGCACTCCTTTTAAAACTCTCTATGGATCCACTTTTGAAGTGGAGATGATTAAATAAAGAATATCCTTTATTTTCTATTATAGATCTATACTTATATATTATGCTCAAGTAAGTTTTGGTGTGCAATAGGGTGCCATTACAGCATAACCTAGAATATAGAGCAATAGGCTGCCATTACAGCATAACCTAGAATATAATGAAATATGCATAATGATTACCGGATATGAGAGTACCGCTTAAGATTTATGAGAACGAAGTAGGAAGCACCAGAAAAAGAGAACGACCAAGAAAACGATGCAAAGACAGTGTGCAGCAGGATTTAAAAGAAATGAACATAAGAAATTGGAAAATTGGATGTTGTTAAACAGGCTTATGGGCTTATGGACTGTATAGTCACGAATGATGATGACGAATGATGATATATGCTCACACAACTATTTATAAAAAGCAGTATAATATATTCCAAAAAAAAATTAATGCCTGAAATACTGAGACTATTAAGATAAATAATGGTAGCTATAGATATGGCAGCTATGACAAATAATTGAACCAAGGCAAAACAATCACACTTTATAAAATTTTAGGGAAAAATAATAACATCAAATAACTTGTTGAATAAGGATGCACGAGTAAAGTAAATTTTAGGTTATAAAGTTTTAAGATAGTGATGAAAAACTAGACTAAAGAGTAATTGTAAAAGAAGAAGATCTAAAGATAGATAATGGATATTAATAATAATTCTATGATGACATTTACAGGGATATGCTCGGAGGCGTATAAAAAAACAAAATCTTTGGTTCACTCCATGCTATAAAGCTTTGAATAAGAATAATCTCAGTTAAGCGGAGTTTATACAAATACTGACAATAAGATTGAAAATGGTTTAAATAAGATTGAAATTGAAAATAAGAATAAGATTGATAGTAACAATATTTTTTGAGTTATTATTATGTTGAACCTTTTCCGAGTTAGTGTATCTGGGCACTTTTACTCTATGATGGCTGGGGGGCTTCTGTAGAGTCCCACCCATCTCACTGAGTAATTTGAGTGTTACCCATAATCTTCATGATTATTCAATGATTATTTCTAAGATCTGCGTACCGCCCCGTGCGGTTAGTGATGACTCTTATTTGTATATGTCATTTTCAGAAAGTCCTTACCATTAGCTAATTTTAGTAATATCGTCCACCTTAACACACATACACTCAATCCTTAAGTGCATAACATTGTTATGATTTTTATTATTTAATTATCTCAATTACATGAATAATATGTAGCAATATTACGCATACTTTTTGAATTAAAAAGTTGTAATTTATTTTTAATGTCCTTAAGTTTTTTCTCACTCCATCAATTAAAGCATATCACTCCTCATCATGTTCTAATGAATCATATTGTACTCGGTTTCAGCTTCTTCAATAAACATTAACACTTATTTACAAAATTTTTTACTTACAGCAATTTTGATTCCCGGAATTTGGAGCGTTGAAAGTGGTTTATTACTCGTAATTGCTGCCTCATTGATTGGACGTTCAGTCAGTGACATATGGATGATTCAAAATGCCACTGTCGTGGAAAGCACAATTATACACATGAACAAAACAAAATTCAGATCTGCACTACTTAAATATCTTGCTGCCTTGCCAATGGTATATAAAATTCTAGAATTTTTAATTAATATTTCAAAATTTAAATAAATTTATAATTAAATTATAGATTTCAGTTGTAACAAATATACTAAAATGGAGTTTAGGTGAATTAAAATTAAGATTTAGAACGAATTTGACGCATCATCTGTACAATCAATACCTCAGGTAAGTTTAATAAATATAAAAATTATTAATATGTACTGACATTTATATTAATATTTAACTATTTTATAGGGGCTATACATACTATAAGATGTCCAATTTGGATAATAGAATAGCCAATGCCGATCAATTACTCACAACAGATATTGATAAATTCTGTGAAAGCGCTACCGATTTATATTCGAACATCAGTAAACCTGTTTTGGACATATTCATTTATGTTTACCGATTAACAGTCAATTTAGGCGGAAAGGTATTATTGATATTAACTAAAAAACTTTTTTATTACTAATATAACCCATAACCTTTTCAGACACCTTCCGTGCTTATGCTGTACCTATTCTTTGCTGGCATTTTCCTGACCCGTTTACGCCGTCCAACAGGTCGCCTAACTGTTGAAGAACAAAAATTGGAAGGCGAATTCCGTTATGTAAATAGCAGACTCATTACAAATTCTGAAGAAGTGGCGTTCTATCAAGGCAATGTTCGTGAGAAACTAACACTTTTAGCTAGTTTTTCAAAATTACGTTCACATTTAAGAAAATTCCTAGAGTTCCGTGTAAGCATGGGTATTATTGATAATATCGTAGGAAAATGTAAGTCAAACTATAAAATCTATTATTATTATTCTATTTCAGCTTAAATATATAATTTAAACTTATAGATTTCGCTTCAATTGTTGGCTTTTATGCGGTCTCAATTCCTTTCTTTACCGAAAATCATCCTCTTTTATCTGGTGAAAAGAGTGGTCAACGTTTACAGGTAAATTCCCTGTTGTGTTTTAACATACCTATTATATATATTTCATAATATTTTATGTTATAGGCCTATTATACCTATGGTAGAATGTTAATCAAATTAGCTGAGGCTATTGGACGTTTAGTCTTGGCTGGACGTGAAATGTCTCGTTTAGCTGGTATGTCATTGATTTCCTATATCTTTAATAAAGATGTGTTAATGAGTATTGCATTTTCTTTATATAGGCTTCACCGCTAGAATGACTGAACTTGTTAAAGTACTCAATGATTTGAATAAAGGCACATATGAACGTACAATGGTTAATAATGTTATAAATGGTGAAAGTGATTTCGGTCCAAATAAGGGTGAAATGGTGTTTGTTGATAACATTATTAAATTTGAGAAAGTGCCACTTGTAACTCCAAACGGTGATATACTACTAAAGGAGTTAACCTTCGAAGTGCGGTAAGCATCATAAATTTGAAATGATGAAGTTATCCATTTTTATATTGAGAAGGTTTCATAATGAAGAAAAATAGTTTAAATAAAATTTTTATAAATTTTGGAGCACACCGTCTGTCATAACTACTTTTTATTCATCGTTCGTATTATAAATTTAAAAATTGTAT